TTGGGTAATATTTCTGGAATAATGTGTCAAACATTATTTGGAGAATAGGATTGGGAATATGGGCAGAAATAATAAGCCAAACATGCCCTTAGAGGTTCTCTAGATGACAATGTTGCATTTCGTAAGTACGTATCAACTTAAATATCATCAAAACACACTGACAGCTCTTCTTCCACAATTTCACCCTATAATTTCTTGGCTCTTTCAAAGTAATGAGTCCATTTGATTGGACTGCAATTAAAAATTCTTCATGATGTGATATCCAAATCTTAGATTATTTTGCGAAAATTTCACGAACAAAATTCGATTTGGCTGTGGGATTTTAAGATTGCTTGTATTCAAAGTACTTTAATATAATTTTTTTAGAGTGCAAAATGGAATGCATATTTTTTCTTAATTGTGAAACAATATTGTGTTCCCTTATTCTAGGAGATTATAGACATTATTGAACTGTAATGTTTCTTTATTGTATAACCATAAATAGGTAATGTATTCACAATTCAAAATAATTCAATACAATTAAATTGAAATCATCTAAAGATATCTCTCGAGCATACTCCAACCCTTTGAGTTGTCTCGCCCTCTCAAAGATATCTATTGGGTATATATATACTCCGACAGTCTCTTTTTTCTTTGCCACTCTTGCCTACTCAAACTCTGACATGATTAACTCAACCAGAATTGAATAAATTGGGAAATGATTATTATTATTATTATTATTATTATTATTATTATTATTATTTTTGGTAATAAAGTCGAAAATCTGTTACTTAGTTCTTCAAATAGAATGCCTAAAAATGTGTTTTGGTATAGTTGTTGGTGAAGTAGAGTAATATGGCGTTCGATTACTGTTTATGCATGCACATGCATCTTATTAGTACTGTTTTTTTGTTAATAATAGACACTGATTGTTATCAATTATGTATTTGTTACAAAAATAAAAAAATAATAATAAATCATATTTTTAATGAAAAGGTGAAATTGTTTAGAAGAATTAGTTCACTTATGTACACATATTGGTTGTTTTACTCATATAAGAATTTGATTATGCATATGCTCTGTTTCTGTGTGACAGTAAGCATGGGAATTTACTCTCTGACATTGCATATGAGAGGAAAATACTGCGAGTTTGGTGATGTTGATTCGGATGAATTTAGCTTGGTGGTTCTTTCACTCTATTATTTTCAGGACTGTTAAAATTCTCATTTCTATAAGTGGTTACATATCAATAATGTTAAGTCCATGATCTTCTCTTACAACCTCTGATATGACAGTTCGTCATTAGTTAATTCGCAAATAGACAACGAGATCTATTTTGCGAGTTGATCAATAACAAATTGTCATGTTGGAGGTTGTGAGATTGAATTGTGGACTTAGCATTACTTGATTATAGATACATCAGATTTCATCCTACACGTGTGAAAAGCATGAGGAGCAAAACAGCACCTAATATATACTAATACAGGAAATTAATGATTTTGTGACCAAGCATAAAATTAGGTTAAAAACAAAATTTTAAATGGTATAACCTAAAAGGTATCTGATCAACTTAAATTGAAACTAATCCACATTGGACATACAGCAAGTTAGGGCAGCTCAGCCTTAACCATGACCCCACCATAGAAAACCAACTCTCGTTAGGAAAAGCATTTTTTTTTTCTACTTAAGTTTTCCTCACCTTAACTTTTGGAGGTTGATCAACCCATGAAGGATTTTCTCTCCAAGCTTGCACTTGTCTGTCCAAATCAATCTCTACGGTTGTAGATGACCACTTCTTCCCCTTTCTTAGGACAGAGTTCATCAAGTTTACTTCTTCATTATCTTTTGCCAATCTCTTGACCCGTGCCTGCAACAAGAAGGTCTTTACTTTTTATTCATTAAAACTCCAATGTAAAATCGATATCCACTATGCACTGACCTTAAGATTATTATGAAGTTTGTGAGGCAGCTGCACAAAAAAATTTAGAAATTGCTAGATCAAACACTGTGGTACTCTTGTTTCTCTTTCTATTATAACCATCCATATTTTTTTCTGGTCAATTCTATCTCAGCCATTAGAACCTGAAATTTTCCTAAATGTTAGTCCTTTTGACATTTAAAAGATGAATTCAGCTTGGTGGTTCTTTCACTCTGTTATTTTCAGGGGTTAAAGGAGAAAGGCGGAGTGAGAAATTTTAGTTATAGAGTTTTTCTTGCATGACGACCAAAGGATTTTACTATGTGCATCAGTGTATATGCATATGATAAATTAATTCTGTTTTATTGAATAAATTAGATATTCCGTGGGGTCGTCTCAGATTTCATGGGGGGATATCACCTCATAGGGATAGGAAAAACATCTATTATGAGATATCGGCGCTTTCCAATCATGAAATAGCAGAGAATAGTTAGACAAACTCTGGCACTCCAGCTATATGCAAAAATCGAGGTCATTATGTAAGAGTGTGAATGGGTGGACTGATAACACAACTCTGAAAGAATCGGAGGACAATAAGATATTGCATACCTTAATATTCTTGAAAACCCTCTCATTGTCTGGGCCTGCACAAAATTATGTGCAGCATCTGGAGGCAATCCATCATTGACCTGTCATTGACTATAGTTAGGATTGTCGAAAACTTGAAATTCTCATTTCTATAAGTGGCTACATATGCTAAGGCCACCGCTTTTTTATACAACTTCCGACACGGTCATTTACCATTGGTAAACTTGTAAATGGGCAATTGAACCTATTTTATGAATAACAAATCGTCATATCAAAAGTTTTGAGATTATTAGATCGTGAATTTAATATTATTTATTATATATACATCAAATTTCATTTTACGTATGTATGAAAACTGAAAAGTATAAAGAACAAAACAGTACCTAATATATACTAATACAGAAAATTAGTGATTTTGTGACCAAACAAAAAATTAGGTTAGAAACAAATTTTAATTGGTACAACCTAAAAGGTATCTGATCAACTTAAATTGAAACTAATCCACATTGGACATACAGCAAGTTAAGGCAGCTCAGCCTTAACCATAACGCCACCATAGAAAACCAACTCTCATTAGGAAAAGGATTTTTTTTTTTTTTTTTTTTTCCTACTTAATTTTTCCTCGCCTTAACTTCTGGAGGTTAATCAACCCATGAAGGATTTTCTCTCCAAGCTTGCACTTGTCTCTCCAAATCAATCTCTACGGTTGTAGATGACCACTTCTTCCCCTTTCTTAGGGCAGAGTTCATCAAGTTTACTCCTTCATTAGCTTTTGCCAATCTCTTGACCAGTGCCTGCAACAAGGTCTCTACTTTTTATTCATTAAAACTCCAATGTAAAATCGATATCCACTATACACTGACGTTAAGATTATTATGAAGTTTGTGAGGCAGCTGCACAAAAAAATGTAGAAATTGCTGGATCAAACACTTTGGTACTCCTGTTTCTCTTTCTATTATAACCATCCATAATTTTTCTGGTCAATTCTATCTCAGCCATTAGAACCTGAAATTTTCCTAAATGCTTGTCCTGTTAACGTTTAAAAGAAGTTTTGTTGTTCTTGCATACATTTTATTGTACCGTGGATCAGTGGATAACCATTCCCAATATGAAAGATTCTTCTTTTAGTTAGACATATAAATTGCTGAAATTTACAATTTTTAGTAGAGCAGATACATGACAGAGGGTAGAGATCAGAGCTAAAATGCAGCATATGTCTATACCAATTTAAAATAAATTTGTATTTGCCTTTTCAAAATCAAATATGGAAGGTACATAATTTGGTGTATGATATTTGTGATCATATTCTTGGTGAGAGTTCAGTATAACCCTCCTAAAACCTCTATTTATTTCATATCTCTTAATGCCACTGGAGGATAGAGGTCAATATAAATAAATGTAGGTTTAAGCATTCTGACTACTGGAATCATCATGACAGTAGAGGTAATATGGTTTTGAAAATTACCTTGTATGAGCAACGCATCTCTGAAAATGGGAGTTCATAATCTATTTTCCAACCTGACTTGTCACAATTCTAGTTCTGAACTTGGAAACTCGAAAAGCAATCGTATCCTTGCTATGCTAGCTGTCTGGAACAAGCCAAGCACACCTACTACACCAAGTTATGCATAGTTTCAAATCATGCAGAGTCTCTTTAAACCCTTACAGGGAGCCTAACACTCATAAATCAATGATCAGAAACCAAAATCCTTGGAGTAACCAAACCGATTAAAATCCATAACACTCAAATTCTAGTGATAAAATAAGCTAACCTAGAGCTCAGAAATATATAAAGGGGCGAAACTATCAACCATTATGACACCAGAACTTAAAGCTATAGCCTGAAATGGATTTCTATCTCAAGGACACCGTCCACCGAGACGCAAGCAACAAATAATCACCATTTTACATACCAAATTACACAACCCAGAGAGCCATACGTTATTATTACGTGCAGCAAAATTAAGTGTGCTATTGCAAAACAGATCAGGAACCAGTATGGAGAATTCAAATTGAAACTTACGTTTTCTTTTCATTTGGTTTGTTTGTTTGTTGTGTATATGTTGTCGTAAAACGTGATGCACATGTTTACCCAAGTGCAGGAGTAAGTTCAGCTAAACATTGGGGTAATCTTCTAATTGAAAGCCAGTAATTCAAGGAAGACATGATCCAATTTCCAATTGTTAACTGTTATTACTAGTGAGTTTAAGTCTAAATACCGTGTTATTATGAAACTCTGGATTTGTGGCTAATATATCTCCATTATTTAATCCCAATTTTCCAGTTCCCACTCCCCTACACTCCACAGCCATCATTTTTGGATTGAAACTTTTACCATACAGAGCCAGAGGTTTCATGAAATTCGATTTAGTAATTCTAAGTTGGACATCATTTACTTATTAAGTCATTCACTAGAGTTACGATTGAATAAAAACAAATCTTTGCGCAGGTTTTCTGATTAATCAAAAACTTAGTACAACTTGATAATTCAGTTTATATTAGTACTTAACTGCTCTTTAATGAAGTGCACAGAGTACGATTTGATACCAGGAGAAAATACATCAAGCTTTAACACAAGCTGATAGCCATATATATACAACAACGATGTACTTATCATGAAGTTTATTAATGGACAGACATCACTCTTTAATAAAAAGGCATACACAACAAAGATAATCCATGGGCAAAAACACCCTTATTCTTGTCAGCACAAAAAGGCAAATATCTCAAGCCTTGTGACAGACATCCCCATCACAGATCCATCCTTCTTTGCTGGGTTTTTCTTCCTTGGCATCATCATCTTTGGTTTCTTTATCCTCTTCCAAAGCACATTTGGGATGGAGATCGAAGTCACACTCTTCACAGTTGAATGACCATATATGTCCTTCTTCATCACATCCATCACATGTATAAATAGTACGGCGAGTGCGCACAAGCTCATGCTCATGGAGTGCATGCTTCAGCTTCTCAGGCCACCCCTTTGCCATCTCCTCATATTTTGCTTCAATATTCTTCACATGTTCTTCGGTAAAAGGATAAGCATCGGCTCCATGGACTGAAATCAAATTCCTGGCTTCTTTTGTGACAGTTCGGCCAGTTGGTCCAAGAGCAACCAGCATAGGAATGCCATAGACCTTGAATTTCCTACTCAGAGATGCCTTCCTTGGATCACCAAAGGGAAGCGCCAGCCATGGCATTCCTGAAAAAAAATCATCAAAGGAAGCTTGGTCCCTGTCACTAGATATAAAAATCACTTCAAATGGTTCATTCTTTGCCTTGACTTTGTGGTATGCTTCTGTGAGTTTTGGCAAAAATGCACGGCAGGGAGGGCACCAATGTGCCGAAAAGTACAGGAGAATGGTCTTCCCAACTAAATCAGACAATGGGATCTGAAACAGGAGATAGAAGTCATCATATGTAAAGAGGTCGAAACTAGCTTGCATTGCTAAGTAGAACATGATTACAACAGTAAGATCTCACTGATGAGGAACATGCATGATCACATCAATTGGAACAAAAGTGTAATAAGGCTAATAGGCTATTAAAGAAGTAGTAGCACTAAATAACTCAAAAGTATCATACCTTGCTTCCATCTTTCCCGATGACAAAATCTCGATCCCCAGAAACCAGAACTGACTCCAGGGTTTGAGCTGCTTCTTTTGCTTTTTCTATTTCAGCAAGTTCTGCAAACTTTTCTGGGGTGAAAGGGAATGCCTCAACTCCATGTTCTTCAACAGCTTCGGCAACATTGGAATTGAGAGTTTTCCCATCTGGGCCAATGATCACTAGAGTAGGAAGGGTGGAGAGCTCAAAGTACCGAGCCAGCTTCTGGCAGCTCTTATCACTGAAGGGCAATGCTAGCCAAGGCACGCTACCTAAACTCTCCTTGAAAGATTCCTCGTTGTCATCGAGTGATATCAACACAATCTCAAAGTTTTCCCTGTTTTCTTTCAGCTTCTCATAGACCTTGATTAGCTGTGGAGTAAATTCAGCACAGTACTTGTTTAATTGCAACGAAAAGTACAGACCAACAGTCTTCCCTTCAAGTTCCGAGACAGGTATCTTGTATACAAATTAAGACTAAATTCAGCACATTTCAAAAAGATGATATGAGCTTTAAATTTTCACAAGAAATTATCATTGTCATCAAAAGTTACCTTTTTTCCATCAGATGAAACTACATAATCACGTGATTTGGTGACCAAGATAGATTTTAAGGACTGTTCCCTTTTGGCTCTTTCTTCTTCCTCTTTCATTTCCTTGATCTTTTCTTCAGTAAAAGGGTACCCTTCCACTCCATACTCTCGAATGATCTCCACCCCACTATCAGTCAAAACCTTCCCATTTTCATCAAGAATCACCAGGTAAGGGATCCCCCTAACCTTGAACAACTCGTCCAAGCCATCACGTGTCTCCGAGTCAGAGAATGGGATTGCAAGCCAAGGCATCTTTGAGAAGTAGCCCTTGAATGCCTCATCATCCTTATCAGCCGAAACAAAAACCACCTCAAAATCACCCTTTGATGAGATTTCATTGTACACCTCCACTAAAACAGGCGTAAATCGCTTACACGGACCACACCATGATGCTGAGAAATACAACCCAACCTTCTTTCCCTTCAAGCTCTCAATTTTAACCTGTAAAATCAAAATTCTTTTGAAAATATATATGTATATATATATATTCCCTTGTCAATCACACTCCTAAAAAAAACAATAATCAATTACTAAATCAATAAAAACTTCCAATACTTAAAACTTGAAAACTTAAAGCCCCTTATTCATCACCGATGCTAATTAAACTACTCATGTTTGATAAAATCAACTGAAAATCTAATAAGAAAGAAGGATCATATATCTACTTCCAGAAGCAAAAGATATCATTACCTGTTCACCGTCGTTGCGAATAAGAAAGTCTCTCTCTGAAGAAGAGAGGATGTTGTGAATATCGTGAGAAACTGTTTGGGTATCAGTAGTTTGAGCGTCAGCCATGGCTGCTTGTAGTGTTGTTTGTTTTAAACTAGTGAGTTCCGTTACTGATTGTGTTTAGTAAGATTAAAGGGAAGAGAAAATTTATAGCAGAGCCGGTCAAGTCGTCGAGAACGACAAAATTAATAATGGTGATATTAATCTTAGCTGTAAAGCTTGACTATAAGCATATACCTGACGTGTATACCATTACCTCATGCTTTACGTTATCTATTCTGCCTTTTTTTAATTTTGTTGGATAAAATTATATTCTTATGAAAAACATTTTTCAGATTTTTATATTTATTTTATTTAATTATTGTTTTGTTTATTTTATTTATAATCACATAAAGCAAAAAGATTTTTTTTTTTTTTGGTCAAATTTTATTTATTAGATAACAGATTATGTTAACAACGGTTATCTTTTGAATAAAAATTTCACTATATTATAATGTTTGAGTTTATAATATACTGTAACTTGTTTAAACTTTTGAGTTTAATTGACTGTTTGGCTTACATAAACTTTAAGGGGGTTTATGTTTTATTGCTGATTTTTTTTTCCTTAGAATTCTTGCACGACCTAGGCTACATTTTTTCAATTATTATTAGGAGGTGGAAAGCTGGTTAACTTAATTGGTTCACCCTAACTTGAACTGAGCGGTTTTTAAAAAAATAAAACCGAAACCGTTCCGATTTTCTTTGTAACCGTTGCTAATCAAATTGAAAATTCGGTCCAATAAACCGGTTTTAAACCCGTTAACTCAAATGAGCTGGATAATTCGGCCCAATTCAATCAAACCCCCCACTTTGGCCCAATTTTTTTTTTTTTTATTACGTTTATTGAAATGGGTCTGGATCATTTTAACCCAATTACATTCATCCTTCCACCTTAGCCCATTTTTAACTTGAATTAAAATCATTTTTGTAATTGAATAATTTAATTCATATTTTTTAATGTACATAAAGTATTCATAATTTAAATTATGTGATGATATGTGGCTTGTGTATGCCACGGTGGAGTCAGCATCAGTCAAAGAGGTCAGCCTCAAATTAAACCAATACGGCAGCGTTTCAGCCATCAGTTTTAAGTGCCTTATCTGGCACACACGAATTTCATTCTGTTGCAACAGAATGCGCAGCTCCTTTACGCCTTCTCTAGTTCATTCTTAGCCCTAACAACAGAAGATTCTAGTGCTCCTTTGCTCTAACAAACTGTATTTTCTGGACCTGGAGATGATCAATGGAGTCCTGATCTTTATAAAATCAGATCTTTTGTGCTGAAGAAAAACAGAGTTTTCAGAGGGATTTTCGGGTGTGTTCTTTCTTGTTTTTCCTGGTTGTTTACTCTTTGTAATCTTGGTTTCCTTGAGTAATAAATACCCTATAGTGTGCCTTGAAGAGTGGATGTAGGCTACCTTAGCCGAACCACTATAAATCCCCTGTTGTCAATTGTTTCTGTTATTTCATGGTTTTCTTAATCTCTACTTTGATTGCTTGTTGATTGTAAGATTGTGTTAGCTCATTGATTGATTTGATATGCATAACTGAAAGCCCTAATTAGTCACTACAATTATAAATCAAAGATTGTAAAACAAAGATGTTTTGTGTAAACCTGGATGGAAAATGCGCATAAGTGAAGTAAACCTAGGATAAATTTTTTTAATTGAAAAATAATAAAATATAATTTATTTTTTATTCATTAAATCGGTTCAAAAATTCGGTTCCAATTAACCGTTTTATTATTTCAAAAAGGGGAAATTGAACCGAATATTCGTTTTACAATATAGCAATCGAAACCAGGAAAAAGCTAAATTTTCAGACCGGTTTGATCCAATTTTTTCGGTTCGGTCTGTTTCCCCTTTTATTTTCCACCCCTAATTATTATGCGGTCAACTTTTTGATTAATTATCACTTGATTTATTTAAAAAAGTTATCAAAAACTGCCTATTTTCCTAATGCCTCAGAAACCCTGCCGACATATTTTAATAATTTGGAATTTACATTCAACTACTTCTTTGACTCAACCCTTACTTACACTATCTACTGATTAATAATTAGGAGTAAGGTTTATTAATTTTGCAGTGTTAACGACACGTTGTCACCTATGTTCTCAAATTCTCTCATGACCTTGAATTGGTTCTTACTCCTATATTGATAAATAGTATATGAGATGTCATTTTTCTAATATAATTCATATTTCAATTTCTATTAGGACTCCTAAATTCTATTCCTATTTAATATTTTATTATTTACTATATAATTTTCTTAAAGACATGCAATTTTACATAGGAATAAATAGGAAAACGAGCCATAAATATCCCAACCACTAATTGGGGAGCCAACGGTGGAAAAGAAAAAAGCACCCCAAGCATACTGGCCTCACTTTTTTTTAATAAATATCATTTGTTAATCAAGACACAGTTACTTTAAGCCAACCTAGCACAATGTTATTTTCTTCTCTCTAGTATAAACAATTCAGGTTTCTAGCTTTATCTTTGATGATATATTCTTTTAAGGTTGCATTTCACTTCTTTCTAAGTTTTAATATTAAAAAATTCTTGGGAATGTCCAGCAATCCAGGACGCATAAACTCTTGTAGAGACTCTTTTTGGGGTCTCATTCTTCAATTCTTTATACTATTTCCATTTACCAAAAAAAAAAAAAAAATTCTAAAATACCTATAAACAACAAGTAGCGTAGAAAACAATCATTGAGTGACCTGATAATAAAATAGCAAAAGAAAATCTAATATAATGACCTATTAAGTTCGAGTCTCTTTGATGGTAAAAGAGTAACAGGAAAATCTAACATGATCTTTTAAATTTGAGCTCCCATAACCCTTAATACGAGTGNTGATTTGATTAGGGATGGCAACAGGTCGAGGCGGGGCGGGGATCCCATTCCCCTTCCCCGTCCTCGCCTCCTAAGGGAAATCACCGTCCCCGCCTCACAAGGAATGGGTGATCCTTGTCATCCCCTTGCCTCGCCCCATCCTACAAGGAAAAATCCCCGAAAGAAGACGACAGAGATGAAAAGGATGGTGGTGATTCACGTGGCCGTGGAGGAGGTTTAGGGAATAAGGGTTAGTTTGGAGAAAAATGGTTAGATTTATCAACTACTTCAGCATTAATGGGTTACACAGACACATTTGGGAGTCCCGAGTCTGTAGGCGGTTTGGGCCTTTTCCATGAAAAGCCGCTAAATGATTTCTTTAAGTTACTAATCCTTATTGGGTTTGGGCTTAGGAATATGAATACTTGTAAAACTAGGTTTAGTTCTTTAAACCTAGTACATAAATATATTTTTCTCTTGTTATGAGTGATAGCAAACATTATTGTAAACGAGAGAGATGAGGCAATATTGAAATAATATTGACTTTACTGGACGTAACCTACATTAGGTGACATAGGGTAAATCTTGCGTATTACTTTCTCTCTTTATTGTTTGTGTATTGTTTATTTTGTTCTCGTATTACTCTCTATTTTGTTCAAAAATTGGGTTATATTATGGGAGTTAGCCGAGCCGAGCCGCTCGCCGACTGAGTTAAGCCGAGTTCGATCTCCTCAATACTTAGCTCAACCAATTCACATGCTTCAGTGAGCTCGAGGGTATATATGCTAGTTTTACAACTACTAGGGGGTTATAGTAATTTATCAGTGTGTAAAAATAACAAACACACCCATATTCCCAAATATGTGAAAATCGAATTGGATTTACTTCTATCTTAGAACATAAATAAAAAAATAAAAAAAACCCCTAAATTATCTTTGTTGAAGAGCTAGGAATCCGCTAGCTTTTCTTAAGGCGGTGCATGCCATGGAAGATTTCTCTATGAGCGTGATGGCATTGTCTTTTTTGGCTAAGTAAGTCGTGCGAACCTTGATTACCATTGAGGAGGATTTCTTTATGAGGTGGCAGGGCGTCTTTTGCTTTTGCCAAATCTAGAGAGACACTACAACTCCTCTGTCCCAGATTCCATCCCTGCGACCATCTGGTTCACCGGTCATGCTTTTGGTTTCCATTCCCATCATCATATTGATGATAAATCCCCTCGTGCTCTGCCATAAGAACTTGGAGTCAATGTCATGGTCAAGGTAAAGATAACGTTGTGATTCTTGCCCTGTTTTCCATTGAGGATAATGGTGATGTGACACAATGGATCGTCGTAATGGCTCGACCGAGGCTCGAGCAACACTTGCTCAAGCTTCGACCGAGCTCAATATCTCAAGCTCAACTGAGCTCAAGCTCGACATTGTAGCAGTTGAGCCAAGCTCAAACAGCCCAAAGCTCAACTCGACTTTACACCCCTAGGTATATATAACGAGGGTAAATCTACAACTATCCTAATGTTTAAGGGTATCATTGTGAAATAGGAGCAGGACAGGGAGTGAGGCGAGGCCGGGGCGGGCCGAGTAGTGGGGGAAGGCCGAGGTACAGCTATCCACATCCCCGCCTTGTCGCCACCCCCAATTATTGCAGGGAATCCCCACCCCATGCGGGGCAAGGCGAGTCCCTACAAAAGCGGTGACTATTGCAGGTTCCCATCGTATCAGGAGAAAATACATCAAGCTTTAACACAAGTTAATAGCCATATATATATATATACACAACAACGATGTACTTATTATGAAGTTTATTTATGGACAAATAGACATTGCTGTTTAATAATAAGACGTACACAACAAAGATAATCCATGGCAAAAAAGACCCATATTCTTGTCAGTCCAGAAAGGCAAATATCTCAAGCCTTGTGACAGACACCCCCATCACAGATCCATCCTTCTTTGGTGGATTTTTCTTCCTTGGCATCATCACCTTTGGTTTCTTTATCCTCTTCCAAAGCACATTTGGGATGGAGACAGAAGTCACACTCTTCACAGTCGAATGACCAGATATGTCCTTCTTCATCACATCCATCACAGGTATAAATAGTGCAGCGAGTGCGCACAAGCTCGTGCTCATGCAGTGCATGCTTCACCTTCTCAGGCCACCCCTTTGCCATCTCCTCATATTTTGCTTCAATATTCTTCAAATGTTCTTCAGTAAAAGGATAAGCATCAGCTCCATGGACAGAAATCATGTCCCTGGCT